TGGGTTTGAATTTTTTTATTCTGCCTCCAAAAAGCTGAGGTGAGGATGTGTAACRAACTTGCAGGCAGTAATTTGCTCTTACTTGTGTTGCATGTCAGAGGTAATGCATGGATGCACAGGTTGGGAACTGCAGCTCTGAGGGAAAAGCCTTTTTCCCTGTCTGGAGGGGATCAGACAGGCTGTGGTCAGTCAGTACCCCAGAGAAGGCAGAGGGAGCTTCAGGCACACAAAGGTGATGTCCTGAGGGAGAAGGATCCTTTTTGGCCCAGGAAGCATGGCCTGAAATGCTCAGACAGGAGGTTGGGCTGGTTTGCTTTGGAGCTGTGGCTGTGTGAGCCCTGCTGAGGGCAGGGGGACCCAGTGACAGTTCCTGTGTGTCAAACAGCCCTGAACCTGCAGCAGTGCCCAGCTGCACTCAGGCAAACTCAAACAGAGAAAAGGTTCTCATGCTGCTGCAATAGTGATGGCTCAGGCTGCACTTGCGACTCTAAAAACTGCAAATACTTGTTCTTACTCCTCCCTTCCAAAGCGATGCTAGCCATACCCAGCAGAGCAAAGCTATTCCCATTTTCATCATTCCTTACTCTGARAATTACCATCTCTGCTCCTTGAACACTATAGGGCTTCTCTCTGCCCATCTCCTTCCTAAGCTTGGGTGTCTCATAGCTCGAGGAGCTTTTTCTGAGCTGAAACTCCAYGCTCAGGTCTGTGTCTGCCTCAGCASAGGCAGGAGAGCTGCAGTCATGAARTCATCCTTGGCAGAGTTGGTTCTGCTCTCCCTCACCCTTATGAAGTCTTTTCTCTCACCTCCATGCCCCGAGGTGTTGATTTTCTCTCCCATTTGCTTGTTGTTCTTCAGAGCTGTGCCCTGCTTTGATGCTGCTGTGGGAAGGGATTTTGTGTGTTGAGGACTCGCTTTTATTTTCTGTCTCACTGGGCGCTGCCGGGAGCAGGTGGGGAGGGCAGCCCTTGCCAGCCCCACCTCAAACCRTGGAATGGGAGCACCTGAAGCTATGTTTGACTTGGATTGCTGCTGCACTGTCTGGTTCAGGGGAGTTATGCACCGAGATGAACAAAAAATAAAGAGTCTTCCTTGCCAGGCTGTGCTGATGACACAGCTCCAGCAGGGAGGAGCTGATGGCTGCACCAGCTCCTTTCCAGCCCTTCCCCACTGCAGGGAGAAGCTGTAGCTGCTGTGAAACCCCTCGAGCAGCTGGGCTGTGTCATGTCCCCAGAAAGGCATCAAAGGATGGGAGCTGCTCGTTCCTGGGGAGTGGGGGCCAAGCCCAGGGTTGGAAGCTGCAGGGAATCACAGAATGGGCCAGGCTGGAAGGGACACGGTGGCCCAACGCCCTGCTCAAGGAGGCTCTTCCCRGAGCACATGGCACAGGATTGTTCTGGAATATCTCCAGAGAGGGAGTGAGAAAGGGAGATATCAGCAGGGCTCCCCAACACTGTCAAGGTTAAATGTTTAAATAAATAAATTACTGCTGAGGCTCAAGACCCCCTGAACGGGCAGTGAGGTTCCACCAAAGCCTCCCCTTCCCTTTGGGGAAGATTCACCCCAGCAATTCCTGCATGGCTTTTACAGAGCAGTTTTCCACCCCTGAGCCCTCCCTGCGCTGCTGCTCCTCTGACTGTTTATATTCCACTTCCTTCCTTTTGTTCTAAGCGAGAACCACGGACACCAATGACTTCCAATCGTTGGTCTCTGTTTATTTGAAGTTTTTCTTTGTCTGGGGCCGGGCTCGTGCTCTCTGTTGCCGGTAAACAGCAGAGCTCTGGCATTYCACAGGGAAAGGTTTTGCCTTTTCCCATGGAAGACACTGATGTGTGTTCAGCCTGTGGAGCTGGGTGAGGTTCTGGTGTACCCCTGGAAGGCCCTGCTGTACCTGGATGGGTATTAGGATTAGCCCAGGCTGAAGTTTTATTCTGGATCCTTTGCTAATATTTTCCTCTGATGCTGTTTCAGCATCTCACTTCCCTCTTGCTGTCTGTCCCAAATGTTCATCGGGGATGTTCAACAAAGAGATTTTCCTTTAGGAACATGGAACAGCCATTGGAAAACAGGGGCACGTGTAGTTAATGCTGCTTTGGGGAAAAGAATTCCCTCCCTTGAGGGAGAGAATATGGCAGGATTTCATCTGTCACTTTTAATTGCACAGGGAATTATATTAAGCATCATTTAGTGCAATAAATTATGTGCACATTAGTGTACATTAATAAAACATTATTACACATTCTTTTTATTTAAGCCACATAGCAGGGTATTGTCACTACAGTGTACAGCGCAGTGATGGGATTAAATATTTAATTTTTCTGTTAGCAATGTGAATTGTTACAGAATAAAAAAGGGGGTGAGTGTGCTCCAGCAGCAGGATTTTGGCTGTAATTGCTCAATAAAGATCTAGAAAAAGCTCCAAAGCTGTCTCCAGGCACACTGTGATGGCAGGAGAGAAAGAAGAAAAGCTCTGTTGCAAGCTGGCGTGGCATTAAAAAAAAAAGAAGAAAATAATTAACCCTAAAATCACTGGTAATTATCAGTAATTGGCACTTGGACTGGTAGTCTCATCAGAGAGAGCAATAATTTAGTGTGAGCTATAAAATTGCTTGTTTTCCCTCCTCAGGCAAACATTTCTAGGCTACATTGCCACAGCAGAAAATCCCTGATTTATAAATGTGAGGTTCACCACAAACGGGGCCGTGAGCTGTGGTGGAGCCATCTGAAAATCTGAAATCTGCACTGAAATCTGCTGATCCTTCCTCTGAAGTCCCTGGTCTCTGCTCTTAAAAACAGCAAATCTGTGTGGCAAAAGCCTGATCCAGCAGGTAGGGAGTGCAAGGTATGGAACCAAGGCAAGAACTTGAGCTCACCAGGTGTTGTTCTTCCCTGGTGGAAGTAATTTGGAGAAGTTGCCTGAAAGAAAACCCAAAAAACAACCCTTTTAAAAATTATTGTTATTAAAGCAAGATGAAGTTAAAASCTGTTATGTTCATATGGGTATTTAYAAAGAATTACTAGTGCCTCTCTGYTTTGTTGCCCTAAAAATTTGGTGGTGGAGCTGCCTTTATATTGGAAAAGTGCCTTTATCAGCCCTGCAAATGTAAAATCAGCCCAGTTCCAGCTCTGGGAAAACTCCTGTTCTGTRGGCTTGSAGATCTYTTAGGTGCTGGGAGGATGTGCTTCMAAGAAAGGTGSAAAATTGGTRTCYTGAGCTCTTCTGGCAGCACCCAGAGTGTGTAACTTGGCTTCTCCTCAGCTGGGAACGCTGCAGGAGCTGCTCCAGGTTCTGGGGGTGAAGGGGAAGGAGATGGGGCCAGGAAGCTCTGGGGCTGTCAGGGTCTGCAGGGGAGGCCAAAGAGCCTTTACAGGATGTGACATAAACATTCTCCATCCAAGGTGGAGAAAGGAGGACATCCAGAAGGTCAGGACACCAATATTGGGGTGGAAGGCGGGTGCTCACGAGCTTTTCTGGTTGGCTTCGGGATTCCTGTTGGGGATCCATCACTAAAATAACTGGGATTTTTAATAATATTCTTCTTGCTTGTAGCCTAAATCAGCTTTTTCAACTGCAGTGGCAGCATTGTTTACCTCAAAAAGGAAAATTGCAGCAGTGGGAGGTGGGCACTRCYGGTGGACAAGAGCAGGTGAGTGAMCAGACACATCTGCAAGCACCAGCAYRAGCTCCCCTCCCATCCTGGGAGCTGAAACCCAGTTCTAATTCAYCTGCAACATCTGAGGCAGAGCAGGACCTTCTGCCTGGAACCCCTTCATGAGGATCATCTGCCCTTCCCCAGCAGCTCCAGCTCSAGCAYCAGCACCCCCAGCCTTGTCCTGCTCTGCCTTGATTCTGTCTCACGTCCCAGCTCGTCCCAAGTCACTGCCTTGATGTGTTTTAAAAAAAAAGACAGCAAAACTCCTTCACTTTCAGAACTTTTGTTTAAATCTAGGAAATCCCATCTCCAGAAGGGCTGGGGTAATGCTGAGGCTGCCAAGTCTTGTGTTGGGAAACTCGGAAATGCCAGATTCAAACTGCCCGGGCCATCTTCCGCTGTGCCCCTGCCTGTTTCCCATTTGCTGCAGCTTTTAATGGTACAGGCACATCCTCCTTTATCCTGGGGCTAAGGCACTTTGCATATATTAACCTGATTTGCATATATTAACCTAATTTATTGTAGTGAAGGGAATCCTGCTGCTCACCTTTCCATCAGTGGTGAGCAGCAGCCTCTGTGATGCCACATTGATAACGAGGAGGGCAAAAATCACCCTGCTCGTAATTTTAATCTCCAAGGCAGGCAGGAAATGTGCCATTTTTAATTCTGGCTGTTGCCTATTGTTTGTGTTGAGGCTCAGGAGATGCAGTTTTCCTTGTGAGGGTTTGTCAKGGAGCTGAAATGCTGCTTTTGCTGTTGTATCTGCTCTGGGATGTGTGTGCTCCGCTCTGGGAAGYGTGAGAGGTTCTGAGCCCTGACAAAACCCAGGCTCTAAAGCWAAAGGGCATCGTGGGACAGAGAAATAACCTCACCTGCACTCCCAGCTCTCCTCTGCTGATCCCTGGACTGGGGAAGGGGTTTGGGTCCAGCCCAGCAGSAGGGCTGGACTCAGCTGTGGGATTTCACTATGGATGAGTCCCATTCCTGGAGCTACAGGGGTTGTGCATTGACTCTGGGGCAGATTTAGTGCAGGTGAGGAGCTGTCTGCCGTGTCCATGCCCTGGATAAAGCAGGACACAGATCCATTCCCTCTGCAAGCAAAGCACCGAGGCTGTCGGGGGCTGTCGAGGCAGGAATTTACCCGATATTCCAGCAAGGAGTTACCCGGGCACCSAGGGCGACGCCTCCCAGTCGCGCCAGGGGGAAATTTGGAGAAACCCCAGGCACGGGAGGTCGGGGAGCTCCCTCACTCTGCCCTGAGCGGGCAGGGGAAGCCGAGCAGCCTCTCCACGTTCAGCTCAGCCCTTTTCCTGTGGGCCGGTGCTCGGTGCGGAGGGAGGGAGGCTCCAGAGGGCTGTGCCTGCCCGGCCAGGTGTGCGAGGGAGGGAGGAATGAATGCCACCCCGCGTCACGGGCACCCCCTCCTCCCGCCCAGCCGGGATAAAACTTCTCCTCACCTGCCATCCAATCTCATTTATCGCAGCTCCCACCTTTCCTCCCTGCCAGCCCCTCGGGAGGGCGAGGCGGCAGCGCCGGGACAGCGAGAACAAAGTGGATATTTGACCGGAGGGTGCAGGAATCCGCAGGGAGTTATGCGGGATCGCGGGCTGGCTGCGCTCCCCGCCGGACCGGGAGTTGACGTTTAACCGGAAAGAGAAAAGGGACACAAAATAGAGAGGAGGGAGGGGAAAATTTTAAAAAAAAAAAAAAAAAAAAAAAAAAAAAAAGGAAATCAAAGCTGGAAATCAAGTTGCAGCAGCGAAGCAGCACGTTGCCCCTGTGCCTTGGGAAGAATTTCTTGGCGTGCTGTGTGGGTGCCTGTTATTCGGGCTGCGGCAGAGGATTTGGACACTGAGTCAGACCCAGCGCTAATGAGGTTTGTGGAATTAATTCCGCTGTGCTCTGCAGCGTCCAGCTCGCCTGAACTTTGGTGCGTTGATGAAGCGGGCGGTGAATCCATGCGCGGGCAGGTGGGCAGGACACGGGCAGGACACGCGGGGCTCAGCCCCTGCCCGCCTGTTCGCTCTGTTTGCCCGGGGTTTTGGCTGTCSTTCGCCGTCCTGTGCCTCTGGGCTGGCTGGGAAAGGCAACGCTGGTGGCCGGGCAGGGCTTTGGGGGCTGCAGGGGTCGGGGTCGGGGCTGCCCTGGGTGGGCCGGCGGAGCAGAGCCCTTTGGGGACGGGCTGGTGGAGGTTCTGGGGTCCCTCAGCCCGGTTCCAGGTGGAAAGGCTCTTCTCCCTCGGAGCTGACACGCACGGAAAGCTTTCCCGGGTGGAAGTGTGCAAGGTCAGCCGGGCTGTGGGTGTCCCCGGCCCGCGGAGCCCACCGGGGGTTTCTCAGAACTGGAGGATGTCCCTGAGAAGGGGGAGTACAAGGAGGGAGATCCCCGGAGGAAAAGGCCAGGAGAGAGGGCAGATTTAGGGTGGGCTCTGCTGGACTGCAGGTGTTGGGGTATTTGCAAATCGGTGACGCTGAAAAGGACAGGGAATGGGGAAAGAGCCGGGAGGGTTGGTGTGGGGGCTGACAGGCAGGGATGAGGTGGGGAAAAGGGGGATGAGGTGGGAAAAAGGGGGATGAGGAGCACCCACGGAGGGGAGGGAGAGGAAAAGGGTCTTGTGGGGTCACAGGAGCAGAGGAGGTGGCRGGAGCAGCACGTGGAGGGAACTCGAGGGTCCCGGGGCCGTGCTGGCGTTTGGGCAGTCCCACAGGCAGCGTCCTGCCCTCCCTGCCCTGCTCCTGGGGGTACCCCCAGCCCAAACCGGGGGGCACAGGGAGGAGATGGCACCGCAGCCACCAGCCCTGCACGGCTCAGGGGGTGGTGGCCACAAAGCAGCTCCATGGGGGACCCTGACTGGGACCTGCCGTGCTCTGTCCCTCACTGGAGGATGCTGAGGGCCGTGTCCGGGGTCTGGAGCTGAAAACAACAATTGGGGACACTCACGTGGAGTGTCCCAGCACATCYGGGGAAGGAGGGGAAAGGGATGGGGAAGGCAAACAAAAGCAGACGGGCATGATTTTGTATGTCAGTGATGATTTGATTTGCAGGTTGAGTTTTTGGCAGTTTTTTGTGGGATYTGGYTTGATAATTTTCAAGTTTTGGAGCGTGGTCACAGCGTGCTGTGGCACCACGCGTGCTGGGGAGAGAGAGAGCAGGAGCTGTGTCCCTGAGCCCCTGGRCTGTGCCTGCTGCCCATCCCAGCACAGACAGACACGGGGATGGCCCTTGCTGCCCATCCCCACCCTCCAGGCTCAGTGCCCTGCACAGCCCCCATGAAAAGGGCAATTGCCAGCCCAGGGAGGAGCGGCTGTGCTTGGCAATTCCTCGCTGCAGATCTCCCTCCCCTTCCCGCTCCCGTGTCCCAGCCTGCCGGGTGTTCCCCACGTGGCTGCCGGACCAGGCTCCCGCTGCTGCTTCGTGGCTCATCCCAACCTCCTCCGTCTCCCCCAGCCGCCCCTCCAACCCTGCCCTCTGCCCCATCGCACCAGCGGCTTGTTCGGAGCACCCATCCCTGCCCTCTGCCTGGATGTTTGGTGATGAGGTAGCCAGCCCCAGCTTTTCCAAGCTCAGGTGTTCCTGATGTATTTCTAGAGCAGGGTTGTTGGCTATGTCAAGGTGCAGCCAAAAGCTGGGGGAGCAAAAGGATACCTGGAGGAAACGCTGGAGCAGGTCTGGGGAGTGGGAGGAAGTTTGTGAGCAGCCAGGAGCTGCTCTGCCTCACTCCTTGTTTTCCTACAACTGAACAGATTTTTTTTTATTGTTGTTGCTGTCGTCRTGAAAACATGAAACAATTTTCCCTGCAGCTTTCCGGAAGTGAAAGTGGCGTTTTCCCTTCCAGAGGACAACTTTCAAAGCAAGGGGTGGCCGCTCCCATATTTTTGCACAAATACTGCGGGCTGCATTCCTGGCCATGCTCTGTGCCACCAGCACCCAGCCTGCTGGCACCTGCCCAGAAAAATCCTTGAAGGCTGGTGGCTCACAGGGCAACAACGGTGTTAATATTGAGCAGGGTTTTATGGCCTTTTATCTCAGCTCTTGAAAAGAGATGGTGGCATTTCTGTGCCCGAGGCCCAGGGCGTGTCCATCTGTTCCTTGGTGAGTTTTCCCATCTGGTGATTAAAGGAAGAGGAATTGTGTCCTCCTGAGTCTGGTCCCATATTCAATCCTTTCCTTGTGGCCCCTGCCATGTGGGAGATGGGATTTGCTCTGTGCTCAGGGCGTGTTTGAAATTGTGTTTTCCCTCCACGGGCTCTAAGGATTTCTCCTCTACGCTTTGATCTCCCCTCTAACTGGCACCTCCCCACAGCTCTGTCTCTGCCATGTGCTGGCCTGGAATGCTGGGGTTGAGCAAAGGAAAAAGGGATTTTCCTGGCTTCAAAGTCCACCTGTGTTGGTAGCAAGGGACGCAGCATTTGTCAG